GAAGGAAACGTCGAAAGGAAGTCAAGAAAAAGAAAAGAATTTAATAGTTTGTATACAAACATCTAAAATAGACGATTGCACGAAAATGATGACGGCATTTTCTCTTAAGAAATTCAATCAGAAATGTTAAAACAGAGGCACGGTTTTGAAGGTCAACGACGTTAGTGGAGAGAATTTTGATAAATTTTCTTTTCCTTCTTCAAACAAACAAATTGAGAAGGGAATATCAAATTGTCTATTACAACAATACATAGATAGTAAAGGAAACCTTTGAATTTTGGACTATAAAAGAAGAACGGTTTTGAAGGTCAACGACGTTGGAAGAAAGAATGTTAATATTTTTTTTGCTTCCTCCTTAAACATACAGATTAAAATTATAAAATTGTCATTTATAACTTAACACAGATAGAGGTGAAGGAAACCATTGAATTTTAACCTATAGACCCACTTTGTATGCCATATCTGTGTTAACTAAAGATTTTCACTAAAACGAAAAAAAACTTTCTTTGCAAACATTTTTAATTAGGAAGTTGGCACTTAAATCTATATCATCCAATTTTGTATCAGTTTTCCTTCAAGAACTAATATTTAATATTAAATCTTAAAAATAGTTCCAACGCTCACTTTCAAAATTTTTGCATATTTTCGATATACTCCTCAGACGACTATGATATCTGTTTATAGACATTTCAACATTTGCATAATTTCTTAAATAAACATTCAAATCTTTTGCAATAAACAAAAATATCCATCTTCGTGTCTTCACACAGACATTTCGGGTAAATATTTATTTTGAAGTAAATTGAAAAAAAAAAAAAATAATGAGATTTTGATGTCGAAATTGGTCTGTTTAGATGGCAGGCGGTTGGCTGCTGCTCAGGGCCAAATCATGAAAATATTAACGTAGTTGTTCGGAATTATGTGGGGGAACTTATAAGTAAAAAGAGGGGTGCTTAGTAATAAATAGAAGAATATCCTCCACCTTTTGAAAAATGTATACTTGTCAGTTTTAAAACAATGTATATAAGTGAAAAAAAAAACAAATTTTAAAGAAAATACCAAATATATGGTGTTTCCGTTGTATGAGAGTGGGATTTTGGTGGTCTATATCAAAGAGTGGATCTGTTAAGCCAATTTTCTGTTCTTTTTCTGGAACAAAATAAACTCCAATATCATACTCCATGCGACTAATATCAAAATGTCCGAAATCTGTAGCTACTGGTATATGGAAGACTATAAGAAAACACGAAACTATATAAATTTTAGATGTTTATGTCGATTCCATCAAAAGACAGACAAGCTAAAATCTACATTGAATTTTACGCGGATTAAAAATACACACTTTGGTGGGTCTTACATGAGTTACAAAATTTACTAAATGACAAACTTAATACATCCTCCATACAATGTACGGTGTAAGTTATACAAATGAGGAACTTGAAGGCTAGGCAAACAAGCTATTGGTTTCGATGTGAAAATACCTGCCTGTCTCCTATAAAAAAAAGATCTGTTGATCTTTTGTCAGAAGACCTTCTTCTACAGAGTATTTTTCTGTTGAAGTAAACTATCCTGTACTCCATAAGAAGATTTGGTCTTTCGTTATCGCAGACATTCTGGTATTTTAAGAGAAGCTCTAAAAGCATTTCATTAGACCCCTTTTGATCTTTAGTAAAAGATTTTCTTCTATATGAATATACAACATCATAGGATACAGATACTTGATCGACATACATGTCTCGGAATAGTAATTGACAGTGAACTATCTTTTAGACACCACATTGACGCTTTATCTGGTAAAATTGTTTCTTTATTACGTAAAATTTATTGTTGCAATTTATGTTTACCCTTCCACATCAAGTATAAAATTGGTCATACTTTGCTAATGTCTCAGGTAAACTATGGGTTTGAAATTACTACAGGTACTCTGGGGTTTCACTTAAATAACTTAAAGCGGCTTGTCAATTCTATAGCACGGTTCGTTTCGAACTATGTCATGAGATTATGTAAATTTTCGGTGCTTGTCTCTATTTCATAAAATTATAAAAAATGCAAAGCCAGTATCATTGTATAGTGATTTTTGCTTCTCTCATTCGTCCAGGAACTCGGCCGATCATTTCTGGTTCGAGTTGCGCGTAACTGGAATGTTTTACCATTAGAGCTACGTCTTTTCTCTCATTCTAAAAATTTATTTAAATTAAAACTTCTCACTTTTTTAACATTTAAAATTTGTTGTCTCTAAATTGATTTTTTATATGTGTTTATTGCTATCTGGGACAAATTTATTTGATGTAAACTGTTCGTATATATAATGGTTGGGGACCATACTTGCTCATTCATTGATATAAAAATATATATAAAAAAATATAAATGTTAATTTTTTGTGTTTGTTAATTTCTTCCTTTTATAAATATTTTGTAATTTTACTCAGATTAATTGTAACTTTGTAATGTTATTGGCCTCGGTGGATAATATTACAATATGAATTAAATAAATAAAATGTCTGATCTGCTACCTTATGTTCAACTATCTCTTAGTTTTCATGAGATGCTCTGTTGGTATTTTATGAAAATGAACACCCAATCCTTCCCTATACCCTCCTCAGGCCCAGAAGCCATTCTTATATTTCAAATTATAATCGCACTGACCGTGATCTCAATAGTCAATAGATATTATGGACGATACAAGTTATTGCAAATAAAATATTTCAACACTTGATGTGTTGTTTAATGGAATTTAAATAGTTTTATATTGGTCCCGTAAGGTACAGTTGACGGCAGCTATATGACACATGCACATTTTTGTAAATTTTTTCTGCATAAATTTTTTAAATTATTTATAAAATAAAAAATAAACATATTTAACGGTTGTTATTAATGCTTGTTCGTAACCTATTTTTTTTAGTTGACGATGATTAGAAATGACTTAGCCAGCAAGAACTTTAAAAAGTTATTGACATGATTAAGTCTCACAGAATTCAACGATGAAGCGATTCCCTTAAACTCAATTTAAATTTAAATAAATATAAAAATTATAATTCTTTTATCTAGAATAATTTCAATAATCCGGAGCCTACTGTTTTTCTCATACAAATTTTCTCATATAAATTGAAATTTAAAAAATAAAATAACGAAAATCAAATCTAAAAATACAAATTTTATTGCATGTGTCGTCTCCTTCGTCGGTACATACAAGTATTTTTTTCGTGTATGGGTGAAAATTTTCAAAAAAGAAAAACACCATACCAGATTATCTTCTATCTGCCACAATACAAATTACTCTCATTTCGGATGTTTGGATTTGTTTCTATTATTTGCTTTCTAGATACATGATGTTTGAAAGTACCAGACAGACATAAACATTTAATACACATAAGAACATTTGCCATGACTAAGGCAGCAAGTTGGCTTGTTGGCGTTGGAAAGAAAAGCTATAAAACAAGAAAATTTTTGGCCCACATTTTGTTATTCTTTCTTCATGTCTTATTTAACAAATTTTCCTTTACCAGTCTAATTTTTTCATCTGCATTTTTTTAGCTAAAAATTCGAGACTAAACAAACCGAGATGTGTTGGAAGAAGTTTTTTCTTTGAAAAATGCTGACGCCAAGCAGGAGGTCCATAGGTATTTTAGGTCATGCCACAGAGATATGTATATTTTCCTGTATAACAATGGGAATTGTTTTTCCATACCTGTACTACAGAGGAAGTTGCTGATGCATAGCGAGATAAATAGATTAGTATTCATAAGATCTTTTATTTTAATTGGAGCGAAAATTGAATCTATTAAGTCCCGGAACATAAAGTAAAGTAATTAGAAAGATATTGCTATTGAGTCCCGACATATCAAGTAAAGTAATAAGGAAGATATTGTCTTTGTTTTTTATTACATAAGATTTCGCTAATATTTAAGATTTAAATACTGAAATAGCAAATACCCCAAAGCATAAATTTTCTTTGCGACTAAACATAAAAATTATTTATAAAAAATCATAGGACAATTTATGAGTAATATCATCCCTCTTTGGTCATAGAATTTGAGTGACACAAATTTCACAAATGGACAAGAAATTGGCTAGTAATATTCATGAATGGAAGGGAACTTCGAGATTTGAGATCCCGTTAATACTTCCTGTTTTAAAGAGCTGGTGTTTCAATCTGTCAATGGATGAAAGTTTTTAATTTTGGTTAAGTGAGCCTTAAGAAACCAAGGACTGCCACAGGAGTATACATTTTGTCATTGGAAACAGTTCTTCATGGGCTTTATAATGTCACCTTATATTAGTTTTTGTCGTGTTTGGCATAAAAATCGTTGATCTCTAAAACTGGCGTTCATAATCGTGAAGGTGATAGCACAGAAATCTTAAAGAATTTATCGCCTCGCATGCTCCAAAGCCCACACTCAGAACATTCATCATCTGCTCTAGCTATTAAAGTGCAAGCAAAGCAAACACTTAATGTTTGTTGTCTGGATAGTTTACCGGTTGATTGGCATTTCGAATGAAACCACCAATGGTAACAGCGGAGTAAAGGAAACAAAAAGTATGCTGCCGCTGCCACCACAATTTATCAGGCAGATAGTGCAGAACACTCACAAAGACAGAAAATAACTTTGGAAATTATGCTTGCTGCCATCTATCTTTGCAGCAAAACTGTTTGCAAAGACGTGACAGAAAAATTAGTTTCTTCATAGACATTCTTTTTATTCCCTTGCTCTTTGTGTGTCAGCAACCAGTAGCAACATTTTTTTATGTTGCCATAATGAAGTACGTAGAGCGTGTGGGAAAGTCGGAGCATTCAATGTGTAACTATAAATCACTTTAAAGTGGGCACAAAACAAAAGCCGGTTGCAATTAGAGATCCGGTTCCTGTAACAAGCCGCCGATCATCAACCCAATTCAATTGTTAACTTTAAATTAGCCGTTATTTTGTTTTTTGCTATTTGATTGCACTAATCTATAAAATATCTATACTTCATTTGAGACAATTTTGAAAAGTCATCTTACCTGGTACTTTCGAAGAAATTAGCTTCACGATTCATCAATTCATGACGGAATTTGGCCATTTCTTCTTCCATTTTACGCATTTCGGAATCGAAACGTTCCCTAATACTGCTGAATTCTGTATCAATAACGCTGAAATCGCCCAATTTGATGGGAATATTACGCTTGTTGGAATCGGCCATTTTTTCTGGTTGATGATTTGTTGTTGTTTAAAAATATGAATAACTTTGCAAAAAAGCACACTTGGATTTTTTTTGTTTCTTTTTATCTATGTACTTTCTTCTTTCACAAAGCACACACTTTCTTATTGGATTTTGGTTTTATTAGCACACGTTGGTTGTTAGCCTTTATATGTTTAGCGTTGCAATAAATTCTTACGACTGATTTATTTTTGTAGCTGCCGACAACTTTTATTTGACAATAGAGATACTTAGGTCGATTTTTGACTAATCGATATTTTCACATATCGGATAATCGATTTTTTATGTTATAGCATGTTTCCATTGGAAACCGAACAACGTTGTTCGCTCTCAGAATTATGTACACGAATTAACCCGTTCATACGGCACGATTCGTAATTCATAGTAAAATAATTCCTTTTTTCAAAAATTTTGTTTGTTGATTTTAATGGGAATTCATACGAAAATACATGAAATTCTCACTAATATGAATAGAAGAAATGATTGTTTTTCTCCCAAAGATTTATTATATCATTAATTTTATAATTTTCATTCACGTTTTCAACTTTTTGTGCAAATGTTGACATTTTGAACATATTTTTGTATTTTTCTATTTTTAAATTTTGCTGGAGAGACACTTGTCAAACATTTTTTCTGCCGATACAAAGTTTTTGAAAATATTGCCTCTTTTGTTTGCAGTTTTCTGTGGAAATTTCAACTCGTGGATAAAATGCGTACCTCGAATGAGAGAGAAAACAAAATGTACTTTCGTTTGAATGTACATACGCCATTCAATATTGTAGTTTTCATTCATAATTTTCAGTCTTCCCAAAAATTTTTAAAATTTCATTAAATTTTTCTATTTTTAATTTTTAAATGTCATAATTTATTTTTTCGATAAATGCTCTCATTTGTTAGGGATGGGACATATTTTTTCGTTGTTCTGAGAGTAATTTGATTTGAACAACGTACAAATATGAGTGTTCGCTCAGGAAATTTTGTGTGAAGAATAATGTAGTTTTTTCATAGTTAAGGGTCAAACAACGAATAGAGAGCGAATCAAGTGCAGTGGAAACGCCACATTATTTCAAGTCGATTGACATAACAGCTGATTGCTGATTTGTCCCGTTTAGAATATTGCGCATGAATATTTCATATTGCGTTTGCGTTAAAATTTGGTTGATAAACATTTTTCAAATTGTAAAAAATAAATCAATTTAAATATGTAATTATACCAAATGATATCTTATTTTGGCTAACTATAATCATTTAGAGCAGTGTTGGGAACATAAAACACGGTGCACATTAGCGATCATGTTGGTCACTTTTCTTCTTGTTTACGTAGGAGTCCGTTGAATATGGTCAACAGCTCCATTTAGTAAAAAGTCTTATGAGCAGAAAATTCATTGCTGTGAAGATTTGTTATTTTTTAACAAATCAATAAAATTGGAAATTAAAAAAATACTTTCTATGAAAACAATTACGGCGAACACTTTTAATACATGGTAGAATTAAGAAGGTAAAGTCATGCCAAACAATCATATCCATCTGGATCCAATTGTGCAAGTGGGTTAACCAGGAAATAACGATGGGGTCATTTCACAATATAGAAATCAAGATAAAAGGACCAAATTGAAATATTTACGAAACATTTTTAAAAATTAGTGCTCTGTTTCAGAACCTGCATAAATGTAAAATTGTTACTACAATATTCGATTTTTCCTTTATGACATTTATTTTCAAAGTAATCTCATGCAATCATACGATTACAATTTTTTATTTGATGTCTATAAATTTCCAAATTTAAATGTTGTAGTTCATCCTTAAATATGAGCGTAAAGCTGTCAAGAAATTTAGATTTATTTCCGATGAAATATGTTGTAGTTTTTATGCCTTTTAGAGGGTATAAAATCAAGTAAGTATATAAAAACTAAAACATTAACCTCACAAGACATGTAATAGTACGTTTATATATATGAGGGTTAACCCACTGGATTTGGATTTAAATTGTCATATCCATTACTTTTACTTCAAATAAATCCTCTCAAAGAAGGTTAACCCTACAAAAAGTTCTAACGTAAACATGGCATAAGACTTGATTATAGAATGGTTGAATTTCCTTTCAAAGTATAATCTTGTGGCAGCTTGGACAAATATGAGGATCGACAGTACCTCTGCTTGTTTTTCTATAATGCTGGTAGAATTTTGTATCCCGAATTTTCAGTTGAATTGGCCTTAATTTCATTGCAGGAAATTATCAGAGTATGATGTCGTTTTATGCAGAATCCATATAGTAGGTATTGTGAAGATTTTGCCCACATTCTTCAGCCTTTTATTCTGGGATATTGATCCTTAAGGCTGACTTAAAATAAAATGTCATCCGAGGACAACACAAGATCTAACTGCACCGAGAATGTTTCCTTCAAATGAAGTGTTTAAAACAGGGTATAATCATTACAGGTAACAGCATGTCACAGCTGATTTGACTCTATAGTAATACTAGTGTCAAACTCGTTATGACGTTTTGTGATTTAATTCCATTTCTTTATATACAATATATAAACCCTTTTTTGATATAAAATTTCACTGCAGGGCAATGTGAACATATTTTTTGCCTAATAATAGAAAAAATCGCCGTTGTACTTAACAAAACAAACAGGCGCTGGTTCGAAAACGTTTTTTGCGGTTAAGGAACAGCGAAACCACGTTAGATAATATATTCGTATATTTTATGTCTCCTAAAATTGCAAAATGTAGAATACTTTATGTATGTATGCTGTTTGGTTTCAACTTGAAAGGGATGTTGTTTTCCACGATTTTCTACCGATTGCTTGAAGTGTTGAAAGATTAGGACCATCACCTAACAACTATACATTCAGGGGAATGATCTGAAAGCATTAAAACTAAATATTTTAACAACTATTCTTCTGCATTTTCAATTTTTATAATCCAAACTCCAAATATGTATATTTTTGAAATTAAAATAATTTACTGAAAATTAATTATTATGTTTACATTTTTGGACACATAACTCCGATATTTGTATTACGTACAAAAACAAATTTCTATGTGGTTGTTCTTACGATTGTCGTACGAACACACTTGCTGTTACCTGCATTTTTCTTCCCTGGGTTTAAAATCAATATTTTTATACGTTTAAGCTTAAGACAAGATAAAAAAATTCATCTTCTTTAGATATGGAGCATATATTTAACTGTTTTTACGTGACTTATTATTTTTCTAAAATATTCCACTACATATATTTAGGATATGAAAACAATTTTTATTTGGTAAAAAATTCGATTTAGCAAATTAATCTACCTCTATTGTTTTGCTTGCCAAGTTTTGGAGATATAATCATGAATTTTCTTAACATATTTTTTCCCAGGAGTTCGATAAGAACTACGCCATTAAAACCTATTTAAATATTCCTGGTGTAATTCTGCAAAAAAATATATGTAAAATAATTAACACCAATAATAAATATTATTCTTTTGATACATGTAACAGATGATATACGTCTGCAAAAACATAATAATAATAAAAACAAAACAATATTTCCGATACCAATCACAGTGATATCACTAAGAGTTTAAGTCTTATGAATCATTGGAATTATTTAAAATATTATTGCGCATTACAAAAAAAGATATAATATTAAAATTCTTCCAGACTATTTCAATCAACAATCATCATTCGCAGAATAAAAGTAAAGCATCATTTAGACGTGTGGGCGCGCAAGTGTCATGATTCTGTTACACAGTTCAAATAAAGCTACTACCAAAAATGTCTATAACAAGTAAATGACCTTACACTTGAAATGCTTATTAAAATACATATATGAAAAAAGTGAATTTCTACGAAAAAAATGTCAACAAAATAATTTTGAACACTGAGATAAGTATACAAATACGTCACCGCCACCATAGCAGCAAACCTTTGAGGGGGCGTATTTCCTAAGGTGCGATACGTTTGAGATGCATACGTCACCACTGGCAGACAAAAGAAATCACTCGATGTCTCTCGAAAATGATTTAGAAACTGTTGAACATTGAATTAGAGCACTGTGGTTACAAGTGTGCTCATATTTAGGATTGTTCGATGAAGGTCGGTCTATATGAGCTACAATTGTAGATTCGTAAGATTTTTATTTTAATTTCTATAAAAGCTTCAATCCCGGATTTTGCTAAATATTTTTTAGTAATTTTAGAGCTATAATGGTGATTTTGAAGGGAAATCAGATATACAGGGTGAGATGAAAAAACTGCAACCAAATTCAGACTACTGTCAAATTCTTCCAGTGACAGCTCATTATATTGTTTACAAGCGTACAAAAACATTTTGATGAGAATTTTCCAGAAAGAAAGTTATTTGTGATGGAATTCAAGCGTGATAGTTTGATTTCTTTATATTTGGCTGGAAAACCACAAGTGGCTATCGTTAGAGCACACAAGCATTTAAATGTGAATAAATCTTTTGTGTCTCGTACCATCGCTCGTTACAGTGATACTGGTACGTGAATACTGGACGAAAAAATCAGCAACATCAGCAGAAATGGTTCGAAACGTAAAGAAGCGACTTGATCGAAAACCACGACGCAGTGGCCGAAAAATGGCTCGTGAGCTGAACACATTGCAATTTTCCATTCGGCAAATATTGAAAATTGAGCTCGGGGTAAAGCCATTGAAATTCCAAAAAGTGCAAGAACTTTAGAAGAACTATTTAAGCTATACTTGTGGGTTATTAAGAATAGATTCCAAAATATTTGTGGACCTTTAGAGATAAAATCGTGTTTTTTAGAATAATTTTGAAGGACTATCGGAGCTAAAATTTTATTTAATTAAAGTATATTTTATGATACTCTGATAGTAGTTATAATAATGATTTTTTTTCTTAAGAATCGTCAAAGCTATAATCATGGGGGCTTTAAAGATTATCTGCAGAAGAACTATCACAGAAATATTTCTGAGCTATATTCGAGGATATGTTAGGAACACTTTCAAAGCATCAGAACTACATTCATGATTTTTTACTTTCAAAATCAATGTGCACAAGCGCTATTTTGTCACACTGAAATTTGTTTTGTAAACAAATCTTCCAAAATGTCCAAACAAAAAAAATCATCTCCCACACATACATAAACACATTCACACAAATTCATCCCATGACAATTTGTTGATTTGATTTTTAAAAATAAACTAGAATTTCATTGATGA